TTGTTTCTTTTACCTTGAGAAAAAAATTGTTTGTTACCCATACCACATTATAACCCTTAAAGCCCTTGCGATTTTTGCTTTTATACTTTCAATATGAGTTTTTTTAGATGAATGCATAATTTGAATTTTCGTTCTTCGTGTTTGTTTTTCATCCCTTGATGAAGTTGTGCGTTAGGTGTGATTCATTCTTGAACATATATTGCTTTTGAGTGTTTGGAGTGTGTTTTGTATTTAGAATTTGTTTTATAGATATTGTGTCGTTGTAGTTTAGTGGTAAGCATTGCCTTGTGTGTACTTTTGATTTGTGTACCGTACATTTGTTTTCCATTTATAAAGACTTGTTGAGCATGATTTCTCGATAACTGCTTTTGTTTCTTTAAGTTGATCTATTATTGTTTGAGTATAAACAAGTTTAAGTTGGAAAGAGTTTGTTGAGTGCTAAATTGTTGTCATTTTGAGTGTGAATAATTAGCACTCAACGACTTTATTAGTTTGTTTTCCGTTAATAATGCCCCATTTTGTGTATTTTTTGTATAGTTTACATATCATTGTATATATTATATTTTCGTGTACATATAAGTGAGTTTCATAGTTTTTCATCTGTTTTTATAGGTACTAATGCATGGTTGAAGTATGAACCCATTTGAGCCAAGAGGAATGCTTCAAGATGCCAATTTTGGAAATTTAATACTATCATTTGCGCTTAGCACGACTTTTAGTACACTGGGGGAACCGGATGGCTGAGGCAGTGTTTTTGTGAAACTGGTTACGCTTAGCGAGAGCAGGCCGTGCTTAGTGTGTTTTATGTCGGTTTGATAGTACTGAATGAGATCTCGCTTAGCGCGATCTGAGGGCGCTTAGCGCGCCTGCGATTTTGAGAGTTGTATAAATTCCATTCATTCAGGTTTTTTAGGTATGGTTTTGGGGAGTTTTTGCTCCCAACTTCATCACCAACATTCTTTGTGAGAATAAGCTAAAAAATAACATTAGAATGTGCATCTTGGCGATTCGGAGTCGAATTTGCTTCAATCAACGTTGACAAATCGAGAGATGTTTGTTCTTCTTCCTTTTTCTTTATGTATTTTCTATTTGTTTGGGGTGTTGTATATATGTTTAGTTTGATTTTATGTACATTTATTGATTGTTGTATAAAATCTCTTTTACAAATCTTTACCAATGTTTATCTTTAATTTCAACATTTATCTTAATGAGTTTGGATTGCTATAGACATATACAGTTCAAACTTGATCTAACATAAGCATCTGTTAGATTTAGGTCTAATATTCGCGTGGGTATCGGTTTCTTAATGCTCCGTGTTGTTGAGTTGCGTGAGACATCACCAATGAGACGATACAATTGTTCTCTCAACTTTGCGTTAGACATAACATCTGTTGTGGGTGATACATGATGATATTGATGGGTGATTTAGGTGGCCTACAATTGATTGATAGGTTTTTTAGTACTTGATGGATAAAATGAAATACAACTCCTGAAGAATTATTTCCCATACTTTATTTACTTGTTATTATCTTTTACTTTCTGATTTTTACTCTTTTAAACCATTCAAAACCAAGCTTAGGAACGTAGAGATTGTCGAACAACATTCTTTCGCTCGCACTGATCCCTGTGGAGACGATAAAAACCCGGAGGGAATTCTTCTAAATCTTTTGCTTCTTATCGCTATACTGCAGTTCGAACATCATTACGTAATATTTGTGAGTACTTTCGATGAAATTGGTGAACTTTTGAGGCAAAAAGGAGGTAAAATGATGAAGAAATGAGGAAAATAGTCAAGTGAAGGAATATTAGGGACTTAAAAATATTTTGAAGAAAAAGCAAGGGAAAAAAAGGAAGATTTGCCCATGGATTTCTCGTGACCATAATGATCATATCACAGGTGCAATGATAAAGTATCGCAACCGCAATGACGTGAACTTTTGACACGTTTTTTTTGCAGCTTTAAATAGAAAAAAGGTTACTTTTTTAGGGTTCTGAATTTTTAGGAGAAAGCGACGACAAGAGAAATTGAAGCACGAATTTGGAGAGCTTTGGAGCCATTGAAGAGATAATTCTTCATTGTTTTTCATGTCCTATTCATATAAAATCATGACAATTCATTGTTACACTATGAGTAGCTATGTTTCTTTTGATTAGATCTTAGGAGATTAAACTAATTGTACTATGTTGAATCGTGTGAATATTTGACATTATTTGAACGATTTTATTTTATAATAATTATTTAATTGTTTTTATTCTTATTGTTCTTTGTATGTTGACGAGTACGCAAAGCAAAATTAGTTGAGTGTGGATTATTGACCGTAAGTCTACTGATCTGAAATAGAGCAATTGTTCAACTTGTTAATTAACCAGGGATAGATAATCAAGAGTTGTGGCTGGAGAATTAGCACACTTAGATATCCTATGTTTCACTTCGAGTTCGCCCAAGGAATTAGGGAGTTGCAGTTTAATTTAGTGAGTTGTACACCAATGAATTCGGTATAATAATATTGTTTATTTGCCATAATATTATAGAATAAATTCCATCCAAGTACTGCACATTCATCAATAGGGGACAATAAATGGATTTGAATAAGATCTGATCACTCTTTCGTTATCAAAACTTTTGTTTCAGTTTACTCGCGTAATTATTTTTCTGCACTAGTCATTCTAAAATCCCCCATTTGTTACACTAAAAATTGCACGATTAAACCTTGTAAAATTTGCAATCCATGTGGAGACGATCTTTATTTTATTACTTCAACTCAATTAGTAAACTTGCTAATAAATTCATCAATTTTCTCTAAGAGCATCTTTAGTGCAGGTTCTGTAGTATTAAATTCTTTAATAGTAACAGTAGTTATAAACAATTTGCATTGGAATAAGAATGACATGACACTAACTGAACTAACAATTAGTTTTCGGCAACTATATAACCAACGCACAATATCAAATTTCAATGACTCTAATTATTATTTTATATTATTAAAATATTAATAAAGCTCCAACAACTCTAATTCAACGACTATGTACTTTTTCAAAATTATAACGATTATATTAATAACAACTCAAATATAAAAAATATAAAATAGGGTCAAATTTTGATTTTTTCCAAGCAACCATCATTAAAGTAAAAACAACTCAAATCAACTATAAATATTTTAAATTCTACAAATCACTTTAGGTCCACAAAAAGTATCTTAGTTTACCCATTTAGTTTACTCCTACTAAAGAGGCTCTAAGTGATTAGGGATTTTATTCCCTCATTAGAATGTGATAGGTGGTAGTGGAGTTATGCTAAAAACGACTCCTATTGGTGCCTTCTTGCCTGTGAGTTTTCTAGTGACTGCCAAGCCACTTTAGTGGAGTTGGTTCTCCCTATTATGTGGTGTAGTTGAGCCCCTTTTAAAGTTATTGTATCTTCTAGCAACTTCTTCAGTATTGAACCCTCACCAGAGAGAACCTACTAGAGAGATAGGGGGTTTCCCTAGGCAGGATGTGTCTCTTGTCCTTTCTTCGAGATTTTTTTAGTCGTTCTATCATTTTTTTGTGACCAGTGAGATAATAACAATTGTTTGGTATATGATTTTTAGTTTTTTGGGTTGGTGTGTAGTTTTACCTAAAGACTCTCGACTCTTTTTCAGATGTTTTCTCTACTTGGTGGAATGTCTAGGATTAAATGAGGGTGTTTTATGATTTTCCATGTAGTGGTTTGGTCCATTTGCAAGTCTCAGAATGATATAGTGTTCTCATGTAAATATGTGTCAGCGAAGGACATGGAAGATTTAAGCATCCTTTTGACTTAAAAATGGTTTTTTGGTTGCTCCATAGGCAACTCTTGCATTTTCTCGACTTGACTTGACAACCTTATTTTATATTTGAGTCAATAACAGTACGAGTGTCATTAGTTTCCCATTGATATGTTCTTATGGTGGTTTTTAGTGATTGATATTGTTTTTTATTTGTCTTGACTTGGAAAATTATACCTTTTATCACACTTTTGATATTGTTTGTTCTGGTGTTAGTTTTCTCTCCTTTCTAATGTTGGAGATTTGAGTTTTTGCTTGACCTTTTGTGTTCTACAGTGCCTCATATATATATATATATATATATATATATATATATATATATATATATATATATATATATATATATATATATATATATATATATATATATATATATATATATATATATATATTTATTTATTTATTTATTTATTTATTTATTTATTTATATTACGATACTTCTTTTAAAAAATATTATTTTTTTATTTAGTGTAATTTTAAATTAATTTATCCAATAAAATAGAATTTGTGAAAATTGTTTATGACATTTTTTTGACGAAAAAATTGCTTATGATATTTTTCATAAGCTCTTCGAAGTTTGAAATATACTATACTATAATTTTATTTTATCCAACTTGTACTATAAAAATGTCTTATATATATTATGATAAACACGTGTGCTATAAAATACAATAATATAAAAAGAATTTAAGATGTAGTATTATATATATTGCTATAAAATTATAAACTATAATGTATAAAATTTGTTGTACTATATTATTCACTCGCTTACATTTTGTTACTGTGAAATGTTTTCAAAATGTTGAGAATTGATATATCATAGGGACTGTGAAAATGAACCTCTGATATCATGCAAAAATAGAAGACTAATTCTAGATCTGAAAGTATAAAGTTTAATGTAACAATCCATGTTTAACGTTACGACCAAAAATAGCATGTGGAACAAGACAAAACAATCTCTACCAATAATTTTGAATGGAGATACGAGGTTTTCTCCGAGCCTTAAACTATGGCTTGTGTCCATTTCATATTTAAGCGTCCTCATTGAGACATGACAAACCAGCTGCTTCTGGCGCCTTTCCAACTCCAACTGAGAAGGAGGGTCCAGGCCAGGTGTAGACTCATACGCCTCTGGTTTCAAGCCACCTTAATCATCAACGATTGTGAGCCGTGTTTGTTTGTGTTCAAACAAACATGACTCGCCTTCGCACCATCGCATTCCTTTCCATTTCATTAGTACTCTTATCTGCCATTGACGTCGCCGCACATGGTGCTAAGAGGAAGGCACGACATAACCGCGTAGCTGGCATTAGCAATGTTACCTATGATGGCAAGTCACTCTTTGTTAACGGAAGGCGCGAGCTTCTCTTCTCCGGTTCCATCCATTACACTCGCAGCACTCCTGATGTATATAATCTCGATTTTTCTTTACTACATTCATTAATTGATTATTATTATAATAACCGCGAATAATGAATTATGATGTTTTGTCCAGATGTGGCCATCCATTCTTGAACGTGCAAGACATGGAGGTTTGAATGTTATTCAAACTTATGTGTTCTGGAATGCTCATGAGCCAGAGCAAGGCAAGGTATATAATTAATAAAATAAAACCACGAGTTTCGCCTCTGGATTCAATTTGTTTATGTGATGTGAATGTTTGCATTATTTTGCAGTTCAACTTCCAAGACAACTATGATTTGGTAAAATTCATTAGGTTGGTTCAAGAGAAAGGCATGTATGTGACCCTCAGGGTTGGACCTTTCATTCAAGCCGAATGGAACCACGGGTATGTATGTGTGTATGTATGTCTTATGGTCTATACATTGTTTAATATTAACTTTCTCGATACAATTTCATATATCAGAGGTCTTCCGTATTGGCTAAGAGAGGTTCCGGGGATCATATTTCGTTCTGATAATGAACCATATAAGAAACACATGAGTGCATTTGTTGGAAAAATTATACAAATGATGAAAGATGAGAAACTCTTTGCTCCCCAAGGAGGTCCTATCATCTTGGCGCAGATTGAAAATGAGTACAACCATATCCAACTTGCCTATGAAGAGAAGGGAGATAGCTATGTTCAATGGGCTGCAAACATGGCAGTAGCCTTCGATGTTGGTGTTCCGTGGATCATGTGCAAGCAGAGAGACGCTCCTGATCCCGTCGTAAGTTAATTCATCGAAATGATTTTCAATATTTTATATATACACAAAAGAAAGTGCTAAGCTTAATAATTTATTTGGCAGATCAATGCATGCAATGGAAGACATTGCGGCGATACCTTTTCCGGACCAAACAAACCATACAAGCCTGCCCTATGGACTGAAAATTGGACTGCACAATACCGAGTTTTTGGTGATCCAATATCTCAGAGATCCGCAGAAGATATCGCCTTCTCAATTGCCCGATTTTTCTCCAAGAATGGAAATTTGGTCAACTACTATATGGTAACTATTGTTATTATTACTATCTAGTTGTAATGTAATGCAATGCCAATGGTGACTCAACTGAATTGCAGTACCATGGTGGAACAAACTTTGGAAGAACGAGCTCTGCCTTTACGACTACTCAATACTACGACGAAGCTCCTCTTGATGAATATGGTCTTGAGAGGGAACCAAAGTGGAGTCATCTTAGGGATGCACACAAGGCTATGCTCCTTTGCAGAAAGGCTATCCTTGGCGGTGTTCCCACGGTTGAGAAGATCAACACCTTCCACGAGGTATAATCTTCATTACTATTAAGTTATGCATACGTAATACGCGCGAATCTCCATCGTAATAACTTTGAAATGTAACACATTGTGCAGGTTAGAATATTCGAGAAGAAAGATGGAAATATTTGCGCCGCTTTTATCACTAACAACCACACTACTGAAGCAGCCACCATCAGTTTCAGAGGTTCTAACTACTTCTTGCCTCCACATTCCATTAGCGTCCTCCCCGACTGCAAGACCGTTGTCTTCAACACACAAAGTGTAATCATATATCTACCTAACTTATCTCTTTATTGTAGATTATTTCGAATCAACAATCTAAGATGATTATTGATTGTTTCATTTGTTATATAATGAATGAACAGATTGTTTCCCAACATAATTCAAGGAACTTTGTGAAGTCTGCTGTCGCAAACAACTTCAAATGGGAGGTGTTTTCGGAGCCAATTCAAAATGTCAAGAAAGTCCCACCGTCTCAGAAAGTTCCAGCCGAGCTTTACAGCATGCTTAAGGACACCACAGATTATGGATGGTTCACCACTAGGTGAGGATTGATTCGAGAAGATTGGCTCGTTGCTTCTCTATATCGTATATATTTGAAATAATGAATTTTCTTCTGCAGTTTCGAGTTGACTCAAGAAGATATGCCAAAGAATGGAGCAGCTCCAGCTCTTCGTATTATGAGTCTTGGACACTCACTCTCCGCATTTGTTAATGGAAAATGCATTGGTAACCACACAGACTTTAGTATTGAATAAATTGAAATTTTTGTAAGAAGAGAAAACAAGGTAAGATATTGATATGATCTTAATTTCGGTTTTAAATAGGCTCTGGACATGGTAGCCATGAAGAGAAATCTTTTGAATTTGAGCAACCTGCAAACTTTAAGGTTGGAACCAACTACGTATCCATCTTGGCCAGCACTGTTGGACTACCAGTAAGAAATTTTTCTCTTTAATCGAACCGATCTAAGCTTTAACAAAAAAAACTATCGTTCATGTTTTATTGCTTGTAACAATACAGGACAGTGGAGCTTACATGGAACACAGGTACGCAGGACCCAAGTCCATATCCGTTGTTGGTCTTGCCAGAACAATTGATATCACTAGAAACGGTTGGGGTCATCAGGTAATAATCGAAGCGTTCAATTTTACAATACATTCAAGTGAAAGCAGTGTCATTGTATAATTGAATTTAATTTGCAGGTGGGTCTCAAAGGCGAGGGACTTAAAGTTTTCACCGAGGAAGGATCAAAGAGCGTTAAGTGGGTTCCAGTAACAGGATCAGCACGCGCCATCTCATGGTTTAAGACAAGATTTATCACACCAGAAGGTAAAGGTCCGGTTGTAATCAGGATGACAGGTATGGGAAAAGGAATGATTTGGGTGAACGGTAAAAGCATCGGCCGTCACTGGATGTCCTACCTTTCTCCTCTCGGAAAACCTACTCAATCGGACTACCATATCCCGAGGTCTTACCTTAACAGCAAAGACAATTTGCTTGTTATATTGGAAGAGGAAAAGGCCAGTCCCGAAAAGATTGAGATAATGAACGTTGACAGAGACACTATCTGCAGTAACATCAGAGAGAATGACCCTGCCAACGTCAATTCATGGGTATCTAGACACGGACAGTTCCGTGCTCTCGACAAAAATGCAGGACCACAGGCTTCACTCAAATGCGCCACAGGCAAAAAGATCGTAGCTATTGAATTCGCAAGCTTTGGTAACCCTTCTGGTTATTGTGGAATGTATAATGTTGGAAATTGTAACGACGCTTCTGCTAAAAGCGTTGTTGAGAAGGAATGCTTGGGGAAAGAAGCATGTTTGGTTGCCGTGAACCGTGCAAACTTCATGAAAGGTGGTGATGCCTGCCCGAATCTGGTGAAGAGCCTTGCTATACAAGCTAAGTGTTCTTACTAGAGTTGGGTCGGCTCTATTTGATCATAAGAGCGCAGAGAAGCTTTAAAATGTCATTGTAGAAAATCAATGTCTGTTTTAGGCTTTTCATAGCTTCTTATAACTTTATTTAATTAAATAAATATACAAAAAGTTTAAATAAAGAAATTCAGTTTTGTTTGGATGATCTTGTGTGTATGAGACGAGACTCACATCATTATCTCTCAATTTTGTTACTTTTATAATATCAGAATATGAAGATTTATTTTCCAAACAAATATGGAAATACCATTATCTAGTTTATGTTCACTCATTTATATTACATATATTAAATGAATAGTAAAAAAATAACCATCAAAACAAGTGGAAGCATATGACACATGATAAAAAACTTCTAAAATTATAATGAGCAAGTGACAAATATAATTTTTTTTTGGATAAGATAAGATTATTTCGTTAGAAGACGAGCGTCAATCTCCCACTACTTTTTGCGATGGAACTAAGAAAATCTCTTATCATTGTCCTATTTATAATGTTGATGAACATTCTTATAATTGTTGTTATACTAAAATTCATGTATACCATTCTTTGTTAAGTGTAATGAAGAAAAAGAGAATGTAGTTAAACTTGTTCATAGAGATTCAAACTGAAAAAATTTTGTTAGTTACGGTTACTTGATATATAAGTAACCATACGCTATTGTATCAGTTGAGATTTTGAGGAATGAAAAAGTTTGGGTACCATTTTCTCTTATTCATGTCAATGTTTTTACTTGTTTAGATTGAGTTTTAACATGATATCATCAACCTATGATCAAGTTTTCTATGATGCGTTCGCTTAAATCTACTCATTAATATTAATTTCTTTCTTTTCATCTCCATTCCTTCTATCCTGTCTCCTTCATTGTTTTTTCAACATGTCTGTAACAAGTTCTACAAGTAGCATCAATGGAGGATTCTCCTCACACACCAATAACAAAGACTATCAAACTAATACCCTCAATCCATATTTCATGCATCCAAATAAAAATGTAACTTTAGTTCTTGTTTCCCCATTACTCTCGAGCAACAATTATTATTTTTGGTCATATTTCATGACTATTGCACTTAGATCTAAGAAAAAATTTCATTTTATCAATGATGTTTTGCCTCGACCACCAGATGAATACCACAATTCTATTGCTTGAGACTGGTGCAACACCGTGATTATGTCATGGATCAACAATTTGATTGAATAAGAGATAATTCAAAGCATTTTGTGGAAGGATAATGCAACTGAGATGTGGAATGAATTGAACGTTTGTTTTTATCAAGGAGATGTTTTTTGAATTTCAAACACTCAGGAAGAAATATGCACATTAAAACAAGGTGATTTTTCCATTTCTTCTTACTATACCAAACTCAAGAAACTGTGACAAGAATTGAATAATTTCCGTCTAATTCCTGAATGATTATGTCATATTACTTGTCAAGCCATTACCAAAAACGGTTTCTAAAAGGCTTGAATGATCAATATTTAACGGTTAGGTCACAAATAATGTTGATGTATCCTCTTCCTAACATTTGCAGAGTTTGTTCTTTAATTGTTCAACAAGAAAGACATGTTGTTCTACCTTTTGATGAATCCAAAGTTTTAGCTTTTCTAATTAGAATCAAAGTGCACAATACGAGCATAATCTTAACCCTCATGGTAAAGGTACTAGAAGTGGCAGGTCTTATGGTGGTAGAGGTAAAGGCACACGACTTTGCACTTATTGTGGCATGACCAACCACATAATTGACTCTTGTTTCAAAAAGCACGGTTTCCCCCTTATTGGAAGTAAGATGGTGCAATCAACAATTGTGTAGTTGTGGCAGGTAAAGCAAATGCATCTCAAGCTGAACTTAAATAGATTCACTATTTTTTTTATCACTACTGCAATTGACATTCACATATCTCTTTATCCAATGTTGACATGGAAATGAATACTACGGTAGGGGTCCTTTCCAGTTATGTGGGAATGAATTTTACGGAAGGTGTCGAAATTACATAGGTGTTGATTTACTTAATAATCCAGAACTTGTAGAAACTGATCATGTTATATCTTTCAAGGCCGCTATTGGTTTTGGATGACAAATCAACTGAGACAACATGTTAATCTCAGTGGCGGGGCACCCCCAAACTTTTTTTAAAATTTTTTTATATAGTGAAAATACTAAAATAGCCTTACTTATAATAAAAAATAACAATTTTGCCATTATACTATTAATCAAACAAACCCTAATTTATCTCATTCCAAAAGATGCAGCCTCCCTTTCTCGTTCAATTTAACTTTCAGAAAAACTAATTCTAACAAACTCACGTCACTGCGTCGCCGGTACTGGTACGAGACTCGTTCGGCCAACCACCAACGCCGCCACCAGAGACCGCCGTGAGTTTGTTTCATTCATCTTGATCTTCTTCATCTAAAATTGTCAAAACAAATTGCTCAAAATCCACGTAATATATAAAATTCTTGTTTTCGTTATATGATTAATTTAGATTTTATTTTATTATTACTTATTAGTTTACAAGTTTCTTTGAGTTTTCTCACAAAAAGTAATCTACTTCATAATCAATTTGTTATGAAAATAAAACACTATAGTTTGACATAATGTGTTACTTATGAACTGTTCTTACTAATGTTATTCACTTACTTTAATTGTTGTAGTTTATTGTCATTAAATTATTATTCACTTATTTTAATTTGTTGTAGCATCTCTCTTGTATAAAAATTGCTAATGTAGCATAATGTAGAATTAAGTTTGAAATGTTGAATCATGTTGAATGTTTGTTACTAATTTATTACTAAGTTATTAACTTATTAATATTTGTAAAATTGAATTATGATGGAGTTTTATTATGTTGTTTTAATTTATTTAATTGCTTATGCAACACAAAAGTGATAATGAAGAGTAGAAAAATTGATTCTTTTTTCAAGAGAAAAGAAAGAGATGGAGAGAATTTAACACCTATATCTGAACCTACAAGAGTTATTGAGAATCCAAGAATTGAAAAAAATGTTAATAGAATTTGTTCAGATGACATTGAGAATTCTTTAGAACGTGATCCTGGAAAACGTCCTTCAATATGGAAATATCCAGTAAATCAAATGGATGAAATACGAAGAGCTTATTTAAAATGGGGTCCATATCAAATAAATTTAGAGCAATATCCATTGTCTAGTAAATAAGACCATCAAAGACGTTTTCAACACGCTTGGTTTAGCCTTTTCCTTCATGGTTAGAATATTCACCTTCAGAAGATGTTGCTTATTGCTTACCATGTTATCTTTTTAGCAAAAGATCAAGTGGACATTCTAACTCCGATGTCTTCATTTTTGCAGGTTTTAGAGGTTGGAAGAAAGTTAGAAATGGAAAGAATTGTGCATAACGAAGCATCGATGATATATTTTTTACAATCTCATCAGTGACCGTGAAAAACATGGAAGAAATGAGCATCCTCTTGATTTAGAAATGATTTTTTGTTAGATTTATGGACAACTTATTTGCTAAATGGCGGATTGAGAAATTTTATTTAGTGGAGTTTAAAAAAATACTATAACCATTGATAATAATTTTTTAAATGATGTTTGATCTAATTTGTTAAGAAATTTTTTAATTAAACAAAAATACAAGTAAATAAAATAAAATAAAATGCAGGTGTGTGTGTGTGTGTGTGCGTGTGCGCGCGCGTGAGTATGTGTGCGTGGATGTGTTATTCTTGTAAGGGCAAATGAGTCCATAGGCCATAGTAAATATATTGCAATGTAAAGTAGTTAGGGCTAACCCGCAACGACGAGAGCCTATTATATGGTGGTATTTGATAGTGGTTTAAAGGTCCTTCTCATGTGAGGTGAGAACCCTATATTGAGTGATATTCTTAAGTATAATTGTAAGTGGAGTGTGATTTGTATGACTTAAGATATGTACCTTTCTTCTGCGAGGGAGAAGTATTTATAGAGGCCTCTAGGGCCTTGGGTTCTTTTGAGAAGGGTAACAATCCACACAATTAATTATGGACCGTTGAATCCATATTTACAAGAGAGAAAAAGGTCAGTTAATAACCTTGAGTTTCATCTTCCCATGAAACGACTTTTCATAAAATTTCCCATGATTGATGATAGGAAAATCTTGGGGGTGAGGAGGTATATTCCATGGGGCAACATGTTATCGTCACCTCTCCCTGGGTGTCCTACAGTCATCACCTTAGGCGGGTCCTTTTTCAAATACAACACTACATAATCCCTCAAGTACGAGGCATTTTGATGGAGAACATAGTGTTTTTAGATCGAAACTCAGGGAAATAACCCGAGTACCTGCATTTCTTGAGGATATATTCCATTAGGTAAGGTTTTAATTAGCCTTAGAGATTTAAGTTGAATGTAGGAAAACACTTAGAAGGGGGGGTTAAATAAGGGTTGAAATTCTGGTATGCAGATCACATGTGTTCCAAGAACATTGATCTCTGCTCAACAAGGATGAGGACAGACCATGGCCAATTTAAATTTCTTTAAATTGTCCCAATGTCATGATCAATGTCACGACCTCTGTTGTGACATCTGCAGTCTGTCATGCTATTTATCTAACCATTTAAAGTACAGAGTTGTAAATGCAGAAAGATAAATAACACAGTAATTATTCACCCAGTTTGGTATCAACAACACCTACATCTGGGGGCTACCAAACCAGGGAGGAAATTCACTATTAGTAGAATCAATTCAAAGTCAAACCTCCAATTTGCACTTCTCACTTAATCTCTATCCAATGACACTTCAACCTAGAGACTCTCTAGTACCTGAGTATACCCACTCACTCCCCCACTATCACACAACAGTGATATCAAACAATTACAAAAATAGTATGAAGAGACACTTCATACACACCTTGATCTTGCTTCACAGCTTTGATCAAGGAACTCACACACTCTTGCTTCCCAGCTTCGAGTGAGACACAACCTAGAATCTACCTAACCAAAACAATCATCCACGAGACAATTGCTTGGAT